CCAAAGAGGCCCCGGCAGAGCCCTCCATCCCTCCCTCCCGATTTTCCCGGACATGCCCGGCTTTTGGGGATTTCCCCCCGGACAGGGATTTGAACCCCCAAAAGCAGGACATGTCCGGGAAAATCCGGACGTATGGTAACCCTACGTAACACTGGCCATGCCGCAGGCGTCACAAAGATCTCTTTCCCATGGCTTGGCCTGCCTGCCACGTCGCTTTTTGCTAATGAAACTGAAAACACTGGTCATCTGATTCACCCCCCCATCCTCCAAACACAGCTCTCTGAGGCCTGCTACAAGACAGGCCTGTACTAAGAGCAGCTGCTCACCCGGGCCCCTGATCCTGCAACTCATTGGGTGTGTGGGCAGACACCAGCCTCAATGTGAGTGCCAGGGGGTCTACCCATACACAGCTAGTTCCAGGATCAGGGCCCGGGCTTTCTGCAGCGAGATCTCCGCAGAATGTTTGGCACACAAAATGACGCTGATGAAGCCTCACCGATGGAAAGAGAAGAAGACAAGGAGATAGTGAAACAGCGTGTAATACCATAGAGGTGCTCCGGACATGGGTGCAACCGCTGCTGGAACGCTGTGTCCAGTTCTGGTGTCCACAATTCAAGATGGAGGCTGATAAATTGGAGAGGGTCCAGCGAAGTGCCAGTAAAATGATAAAAGGATTGGAAAACCTGCCTTATGGTGATAGATTCAAGGAGCTTAACAAAGAGAAGGTTAGGGTGTGACATGATTACAGCCTTTAACGACCTACATGGGGAACAAATATTTAATAGGCTCTTCGATCTAGCAGAAAAAGGTGTAGCACTGTGCCTGGATGTTGAAGCTAGACAAATTCAGACTGGAAATAAGGTGCAAGTTTATAACCGTGAGGGTAATTAACCACTTGTAGAAGTGGTTGTGGTGGATTCTCTATCCCTGCACACTTTTAAATCAAGATCTGCTCTAGTTCAAACAGTAGTTAACTCAGGGAAGTCTTATGGCCTGTGTTATACAGGAGGTCAGACTAGATGATCACAACAGTCCCTCCTGGCTTTATAATCTGTGAATTCCTATGGAAGCATAAAGCATGGAACGACATTACAAACACACTGACATTTACTTCTTGAC